GCCCCGGTGGGCTTTGCCAATGCTTTTCCCAGCCTCTGCAGCTTCGGCCATTACTGCTGCTGTTCTCTCTCTAAGATCTTCTTTTATCACCCGCCTACATTGTTTTGCAAGTTCGGACGTTAGTTCGCGGTTGCTTGTAGCTAGTACGATTCCACGCTGGCCTGTTATTTCGAGTGTTCCTGGAGACAGACATCTCTTGGTGACTTTCGAACTCTCAGCTTTCATAGCGCTAGCGTGAAGATGTTGAATGAGCCGATCGTATTCTTTATCGATGTTTTCGAGAACGTCATCTTCCCAACGGACGACTAATGAGTCGAATAAATCGCAGGTAATGGTGGTTTTGGAACTTCGTTTCTTGAATTTAGTTTTTTGTTGTTTCCGCGAGAAATAGAATGTTACACAAAGGAGACGATGGTATGATCTCGTGTAGAGTTTAGGGGCAACAGCAACATCGATTAGACAAAACCTTCGATTATTTACTACGATATGGTCTATTCCGTTATGGTACTCTCCATTGAGACATTTCCACGTCCAGCATTAAGAGCTTCTGGAATTGCCTGTTGCAATAAATTGCCGCAGTCGTCATAATAAACTGAAATGGTCACTCACCCTTTTCGTTCTATTCTAATCCGTCAGTCCCAGTATTACTTTCTTCTGGGTCCACTCTTAGCGTTAAAATCTTCGAGGATGACCTTAACGAACGTTTGGCAATCTTTGGAGAACTTTTCCAACACCAAATAGAACGCTTCGGCCTCGTCTTCTTCATAGCTTGATGTCGACGCATAGACCACGAAGATTGTCAAAGCGCGTGATCAACATCTCTTCAATCGTAGACATTCGATTCATGTTATTGTGTTCGAATATACCACGGATCCGCCTCAAAGAGGGGAAGACATCGGTTAGTCGCGAGGTAAAGCGGCACATTTCCAGGTGGCGGATAGGAGGTTGATAGCCGATGAAAAGCGACCTTTGCTTCCCCGAAAAGTAGATGGATCCAGTAGATGGACTCCCTGTTTCTGTTGCGCCAACTTGGCTCATATCCTCTAGATTTACGAGAACGTATTCATGCATGCAAGCGTGAGTGTGTTCTCGTTCACGAGGTTTATATTTTATGAGTTAATTCGCTTAAAAGCCTGCAGTCAAGTAACAAGTAAATGGAAGGGGATCCGCCTCGTAACCGCCTTGTCTACTCTGGGAGAGGCTGCCAAGCTGCGTACAGCTAGCTCCCACGTTGAGAGCTGAGCAAGGTATACGTGAATATCAAATAGTAAACACAGTAGATGAACAGGTCTCATTTCCTTGACCCTGAAAGAAGCTCTAATTCATCAGTATTGTGTAGAATGAGTGCGACCAGGTTGCTAAAATCTCAGGGCCATTTAAGGCTGCCTAAATCGCAAAGGACTAAGGTGGCGATCTCTACCAGTAATGCCCGCCCACTAGCATCTGAATCCTCGATGGAGGATTGGATGATACAGGCGAGAAGTATACGGTTTGACGTCATCGGGTTCGTGGAGATGACAAGATGCCACCTACTGAACGTCCATAACACCGGAGTAGAAGTGTTCCTCAAAACATGCCACACTAGAGGAGTAGGCAACGTCAGCGTTTTCGTCAACACGAGTTAGTCCATGAACATCGATTCATTCGAACAACTAATAACCCGATTCGAACGTTTACGGCTGAAGAGATGTAGTTCAATACCGCTTAACAATCTCCGTAGTTAATATGCCGACATCAAACTATGACGAAGAAAAAGTGAAAGCGTTCTATATGGACTTGAAGAAGTTATACAGAGAAGACCATACATTCTTCAAGGTCATAGTTGGAGATTTCCACGCTAAGGCTGGACCTAGGAGAACGTCACATTGGGGCCCACCGATTAGAATGGAACGAACAGGGTGGGCGGCCGCACGAGTTTATCATGACGATCAACACCAGTCATGATAACTCGCAAATTCGGAAGCCCATCCTCAGCGCTAGACGTGGGAGTTTCCCATTGGAGCGAACCGTAATGAAACAGACCACGTCACAGTAAACCGAAGGTTTTACCTAACCAATGCCGCTGTTGCCCAGAATCACATGAGATCAGGCCGTCGCCTCCTTCATGTAGGATTTCAGTTCTCGCGAAGAGAAAAAGGCGCAAAATTGAAAAAAAAAACGTAGTCTCAGTGCTACTGTAAACTGCGAGTTATTCATTTCAATAGTGGGCTGCCTCTGGGTGGCTGGGAGTTGTTCCTGGGTGTCGGACTGCCGTCTACATAACATCAAACATTAGCCCAGCAGAACCAATGCTTGTCGACTTTTGATAAAGTCTGTGAACAAATTGGTCTTCGACCAAATCTCACAAAAACGATGTTCATGAGGAGTGTATTGGTTACGTATGCCTCATTCACGCTCAGCGGAATGAACATTTCCAAGTGCTCCATTTATGTCTATCTATCTAGGTCGGGAAATCAACATGTTGAACGACTTAACTCCAGAGTTGAGCAGGATGAAGTGAGCTTTCAAGAGCATGAAGGATGTAGTGAAGAGAACAAAGAACACCCGACTACGCATCCACCTTTTCGACTCAACGGCACTTACTGCGTTAACTTATGCGTCAGAAACCTGGTCTTTGCGTAAGCATTACAAAAGATCACTCCACGTTATTGAACATGCAGTCGAATGGACGATGCTAGCAGTCTCCCATATCGCGCAAGCGAGTGATGGGAGCCGAATCTCCGACCTGCGTCAACGATCAAAAATCAAAGATGCCGTTTTATACTCCAAGCTGTCGAAGATAAGGTGGGTCGGGCACGTAATGCGTATGAACAACAACCGATGGACAAGAGCAGTTAGTGACTGGAGACCTCGCGATGTCAAACGTACTGCATGAAGAATCGCGACCAGATGGTAGAGTGCTTCACGAAAAGAAAGGTATGATGCTCAATGAGTCCCAAGAGTGAGCAGAACCCACTGGGCTCCTCTTGCACGGGACAGTCAGAAGTCGAGGATTTAATGGCGCCCACTCGAGTCACTCGACGATCAGCGGGACGATAGGCGATACCACAAGTGAAGTGATACAGGATTTTCGCTGCGTAACCATTTTCAAAACATTTTATGCGATGGCAACATGATCTCTTGATTTACAATCTTGAATTGTTCATTCACAACTCCACGGCTTTTAATCCAATTGCATCCAAAGAGTTTAAGAATTGAACTTGACACACTGTGAAGCACTCTTCCAAATCAGACCAATTTTCTGCTGATGTCAGAACTGATCGCTAGGTTCTTGTCGACGGATATAGCCATCCTCAGAACTATTTCTGTAGTGGTTTCATACTCAGCTGAGGTGCATTTATTGTGCAGTGTTCACCAACAAAATATCGTCCAATATACGCTCACCTTTTATTCGCTACCTATTATTTCTTCACGACGAGGTATAACGTGAAAAACAACGAAAATGTTGCTGAGATATCAGCAAAATTCAGACACCTAGGTGAGATCGAAACCCGCGATTACCGTTTTTATGGGCTGATGTGTCACCTACCACACTGCTAAGGCTCCGACTTCTTTCCCACAGCCATTTTTTTGCCCTAACGCTGCTATCAGCAATCACCCGTCAACGGGAGTGATCTAGGGAGCACAATTCCGCACTGAACTCCGTTAAGTTGTAGCTGCAGTCGAAATCACAATCTCCTAACTTTTTATATACTGCCTATTACCTTAGGTGAGCTTTGAACCCGCAATTAAGCCTTTCTGGGGGCTCATGTATAGTTTCAGCGTGATTAGGTTCAATGCCAATTTGTGCTCTTCCGATCATTTCCGCTGACCAGTGATTGCTAATAGCACCGTTTGCGTAAAAAACTGGCTGAGAGAATGGCAAAGCAAGTGCCTCGATGGTGTAATGGATAACACGTGAGCTCCCAGGAAACAGTAGTCGCGGGTTCGAAGCTCAACTGAATGCAACTGAGCTTCCTAATTTCAATTAATTTCAACTAGGTTCGTCCATGTATCAGCATCATTGTGGTCTTATCGTTCGGTGGTGGAAACTGTGTAGAATTGCGTGTCTGCATCATTCCAGTCGTCATCCGCTGAAATGGGCATCATCTTGCATCTATAGTGGATATGTTGGTTTCATTCATGTTATGGTAAATTCTCCTTTTACTTGCCAACTTTTTCTTCTTTTTTTTGAAACTACTATGATAGAGATGCTATTAATGCTATTGTTGCTACTCTACTAGTTAAATAAGAAGTAATGGTGCCTATTTTACCGATGAATACTCACAATAACCTTACTCTCGCATTTAATCCCTAAGCTGAGATTTCATTTCGCTGGATTCATAGCCTTCTGTACTGTGATCCTGTCAGAACTAAGTATGCCATCAACTTTACTGAAAGATTTAGTAACATTTTTCTGCATTTTTTCCCACAAAATTGGATAGGGATAGTTTTCATTTGATTTTTGAAATTACTAGTAACACTTACTTCTTTGTCCATAGGAAAGCTAACACTGGATCAACGGAGTGCTCTGTTCAGAGCTGCATTATGTTTGAGCTTTCGGTTTAATAAACTTATTTCTGCATTTAGTTCAGCTCACTGTTAAGAACAATATGACTTTTAGTTGTGGGACACGATGAAGATTTTGTGACTGGGCAAGTTCACTTGGTGTCAGTCAACGTTGAGCGGCAAGGAAGTAAAAATATAAGGTGTTTCCACTTTTCTGAAGTTACTGTTTATGTTTTTGTTAAGTTATTTGCATATTCCTATGTTCCATATTCTGTTTGTGCCGCTTCCAGGGCCATCCAGAAACAATAAATCCTTCTAAAGCTTCCATTTGTTCCTATACTACCTACCTAGATGGCATACCGTCATAGGTCGTGAGGATCCCAGCATTTCTTTCCTTCGTTCCTGTAGTAATCATAATTCATCTTGAAAGCATAGATGCTATGTTGAACGGGTTTTGGTAACCGTTCCACTCAGAACTTTGTTTTAGCTCCTATCAGTGGTTGAATATCAGAATGGCGGGTAACTTTTGGCAGAGTTCACACTACGATCAGTGGATCTTTGACAAACACGAATTGCTGCGAATGCGTAGTGAAGATCTTAAGGTAAGAAGTTGCTTTTAGACTTCTCTAAAATGCTTTCACTTTTTCATCATTCGGGTAGGGAAGAGATCCACTGCGAAGAGGGAAGTTTTCAGTTTGTTGCTAGTAGCGAAAAGTGCTGTCCAAATGTTAGTCATAAGCGATCCTGACTTCAAGATTTTTGTCATTTTATTTAAATAGTCCATACCACAGGCGATCTTGACTTCAAGACTTGTGTTGTCTTCATTTAAGTAGTCCATATTTTCCTTAGTAGGTGACGTTTCAGTAGTATTTTTATTTGCAGATCTATACTGAAGAAGAATATCAAAAATTAATGATATTTTGGGCGAATCTTATTCAAACACTTGCCGTTGAAGGTATTCAGCAGGGACAACCGAAAACGAGAATGCAGGTGATACCACCATTACTGGACTACTTAAAGTAGTAGTTTATGTGACTAATCATGAAAGGAGGTGATCTTCATGCTATTAGTGACAACTATGTAGCGCAGTTGTCGGAGGCGCCCTGCAATACGCATGGGATCGGTCTTCACGCCTCAGGCTCACCAAGCTCTCCATCCTTCCGAGGTCAACAAATTGGTACAAGACTTGTCTGAGAGGGTAGCAGCACTGACTCGAGACATTGGGACGCCACCACGAGCCATTCTAAAGGCCAGATATGCATTCAGTCACCTCTATCTATGCTTAATGAAGTCAAATACATGGTGCCTCCTTCAGAGATCGGTCTACGTGGAGAGCTTTATCCTTTTTTATCCTTGATAGTAACCGTTCCGACAAATTGTTGTGCTTCCCGGGTAGTTGCATTTGTTTTAGGTTATTGCTACGGCAATCGTATATTTCAAGCGTTTTTACGCTCGGCGGTCCTATAAAGATGTGGATCCCCTTCTTATAGCCTGTGCTTCTGTTTTCCTTTCGTCTAAGGTAAGACTTGTCACTGTTTTCTTTATATTCCTACACAAATTTGTACGAACTTATCACATATGGTACTACATCACCTTATTCTTGTTCGAATCCACATGAATGCAACTTTATTTATTAAAATCTAATGACTCTTAAGATCTCTAAATAAACAGGTGGAAGGATTTCCGGCAGTTATTGGAACAAATTTCTTTGCCTGTGCTAAACCGGGATGTACTCTTATCTCGGACTCACGTTTACATAAGTCTTTACAACTCTAATATGATAGACATATTGTTGTGGTACTTCATCATAGTCCTACTATTTATTTGGGGTGGATGTTTTTGGAGGAAAATGAAAGCGATAAGGTAGTAGTATGAAGAAAACGATTATCGTCGGTTTTATTTCTACAACACTTGGTGTCATGTGATTGTGATTATTTAGGTGGAAGAGCATGGTTTGATGTCGATGTCTAATTTGATTAAAACAATCCCGAATTGTTTAAAAAAGTGGCCAAACCTAACTTATGATGCGTCATCGAAAAACAGCGGTCTTTACGACGCGGAGTTCATATTGGTCGAGATGCTTGACTGTTGCCTGGTCGTATATCATCCATATCGCCCTCTGAGCACTATGTTGCAGGTTATCATATTTTTCAAAATTTCTTAGCCCGTAATTCGGATAAATTCTATTCTCTACATCGGAGATCTTGCAATTGCCGAGTTAGTGCGAAAAGGCAGCAGCTTCATACACCTTCTCCTCACAAAAGATAGTTCTGCATCAACTTTTATAAGCAAGAAAGTTCTAAAATATATACAGAAAGTAGCAGTTCTTGCAAAAGATGCAGTTTATGTGCAGTACAATCCTGGTTAAGGAAGTTGTTTATCCTTATTTATGATATTTCTAGGATATTGCTAGGGATCCCGCCGTTAAGGATATGCAACCTTTCGAGGAACAATGTTGGAAGTTGAGTTCTCGTTTCTCACTAATTTTTACCGTAACTCTTTTATGTTTTGTTTTTTTTAAAATTAGATTCAGACAATAAATTTTTTTATTACAAAAATGTGTGTTCAACTTTTCTTTCTCAATTAAACAAATGTGTTTGCTTTTAGGTCGCGAACGATTCGCTTAGAAGTGACTGTTGCCTACTTTATCCACCCCATATAATTGCTATTTCTTGTGTTATTGTTGGAGCTGAACTCATGAATAGAGAAAAAGATATAAAGGTGGGTGTAAAAGTTTTGTTTTTTCTCCATACGAGGGATAAACAGATATCATTCTTGAAACAGAACATCTCTAACCATACAAATCTATTGCTTTTAAATATATATGTTCCGTATTTCGTAATTCGTACGGTTACGTTAGTCGCTATATGTGTTTTGCCACGAGAGTGTTACGACGAAAGCGAATGTGTAGGGCATCTTTATTAGTCGTTTCAAAACTCCCATAATTGTCATTTTTGTAGTTGCTTGGTTACCTTTGTTTCCACCGTAACTGGAAAGTGGCGATGACCAAATATTTCGTTAACAAAGTGAGAGTTCGTGGCATGACTTGCCAAGTGTTCAAATGAAGCCTGGTTTTTGAATAGCCAGTTTTCATGCATCGCACAGTGCTCAACAATTAATTCTTCTCATTCTCTCGCCATCATCGTTTGCAATAGAAATTTGCACCATGTCATTGCTTAGTTCATAATTAATATTTGGCTGTAAGTGCACTTTATTGACGTGAATTATTACAATATAAACAGGTCCGTCCTACTTGACCTTCTAGTCCACTTCACCGGCCCCATTCATCTGCATGGACGTAGATGTTCCATGTTGTTGCACGTTTTCTCTACCTGTGTAGATAGAGTTCCTGGTTCAAGTTCATTTTAGGGGTAATTGAATATCGCAAAAACACACGAGATATCCATACAACTGATGAGCCCTCTATCGTTTTGTTTCGATTCCTCCATTGCTGAATAGATTTTTCATGAATTAGCGCCTCTTCTGACTAATTTGCAGATTTATTGTTGGTACATGAGAAAGTTAAGTTATATTATATAGTTATATAGTTATATAGTGAAAGATCTATTACAACTTTATATTAGAGCAGGTAATATTTGGAGTAGATTTATGTTGGCCCAATTACCACCTAGATTAAATCTACAAGACGGCGTTTGTGAAGGAATACTCTTGCGCGTTGGTTAGGTTGCATCCACATTCTTGATTTGCAGACATAGTACGTCTTATAGTAATTCCCACGACCGACTTTCTGTTAACCTCGGCATTGACCGAACAGTTCTTTGTATCCTTGTTTAGCAAACACGAGGTATTATTTTATTTCTTTATTTACGCATAAGCTAATATTTCGGCGGATTTCGCCTTCCTCAGAGCCTGGAAAGGTCAAGAATTTTTGAAGAGAGGTTTGCCGGTCTCGATCCTACACTGCATTACAAGCTGAGTCGAACTGCATCACTGGCAAAGAAGTTATGTTCAGGAGTGCCTCGACAGCATTTCTTAAACTGGTTACGCTTTGAGTTACTTCCTATTTTCATCTTATAATGTTTTATTCTTAGCCATATAAATTGCTTGTTATCCTGGTCCGTTCAAGATGTCCTCTTTATATGCGATTTTTATTTCCCCTCTTGATTTTAGTCTTATAGATGCAGAATGTGCAGCAATCCATAGCCTTTTTCAAGTGGAATTTTGTTCTCATTTCAGTTAACTTTGACAATTTTTGGTATTTGTTCACACTTCGTGTTTCTAATGCTCGATGGTGTATTACTTGACCAGAGTTTTTGCTCCACACCGCCAACAATCGTTATAATCAAGCGAACATCGATTTTCAGGGAAAGTAAAGGATATTTGCCGCATCGCAGCTAGGTTTCTGCCTTTCTATTCCTAGGATTTACTCGCACCACTGTTTATCCTTAGATGGCCTTCAGATGGAATTGCTAAACTCCTTAGTTTGAGTCCCACCGAAGTGAGAGCTGACTTTTCGTCACAATTCGACTGCTGTCATTTTAATTTGAGTGTAACATCGTCTTAAGTTGAGGCAGTGTACTGTAGAACAAACTTTGGTGAGAGGAGGAGGCTTTGTTCAGCGTTTTCGTTGCAACATGTGACTATTGATACCTTTTGTATAAACATGACGTTTAATTTTTTGTCCGTTTCGGATTGAAATGAAACGACATTGGAACCATTTTGCGCTTTCCGTTGTGCCCCACAAAAAGAAATCATATATCCTCCTCATTACCACCATTGTTCATTTACTCTGTCCTCACAAAAGTCAAATAATTGCCGCGATGTTCACATGTGTTTGTGAAGCAAGAACATCTTAGTACCCTTCTCATTCGTTGTTCTCTCGCTGGCGGTATCTATTGCACTCCTCGCCGACAACAGTATAGCAAATATTCTCTGAATGTTTGCTTTTCTATTTACTGCGTACTACAATTTTACGACAGGGTATTATGCGAAATCAGCCACAACCGATCAACTGGATTCAATGACGATGTGGGCTCCCCAGATCAATCCCATTGATGATTGCTGATGGCACTGGTAGATAGGAAACTAACAGAGGAATGCACAGCAAAGGCCTTTGTGGAACAGTGGGTAATGCGCTAGCCCCAGGGAAAGGAAATCGTTGTTCGATCTGGCTCCAAGTTTTGCGAATATTTCAGCATCGTTGTTGTTGATTCCCGAATAGTTACTATGCTTTTATACTACTATATGTTCGTAAAGCTATTATGTCAACTATTGACTACATTTATTTTTCTTAACATCGCATGGCAATCTTTCTGTATGTAAATGTTCCCATCTCCTTCCGAGGAACTTTGCTTGTTATAAACATTCTTTTTCTCGCTGACCTTTTTGTGTGTTGCCTCATTCAAAACCTCCACACGTATCGTAACACGAATGGAAAAGTTGTTTGGAAGAGTCTTCGTTTTTTATCTGTTGTATTCGTGAACGATGAAGAAGAGACCGTCGACGGTGTTTTCTGAGAAGTTCAAAAGTTACTTTGATATACCGCCCTCTCCAGAACACTTTTAACCGATCTCGTGAGTCACTATCCTATTTGTCGGCTTATCGTCTTTGCTATCTTACTGTCCATTTTATTCTTTATTTCATGTAGAAGATGGAATTATTAACGCAAGCTGCAGTTGGTTACTATTGTACGTTAACCTCATTCTACTGTCACATATCTTCTAACACACTAAGTCAATTGCTCGGTTATTATAAGTTAGTGTTATCACAGACATACATGTACTCTTTAGTCCTTTAGTCTCTTCGTAATGTTATCGCAAACTTACAAATGCTTTTTATTGTGTAACGCCATCGTATTTTCATTATAAGTCGTGGTTATGACAGCCTCATATGAGTCCTCTGACTCTAGCGTGCTGATTTCCTGTACCATTGTGATGTATTGTGCAACACATATATGCATCACAGTATTCCACCAGCTTATGGCGGAGCTACTCTCTCACTTCAAAGCATCCTTTTATGTATAGTCTTCCCTTTACTTATTGTCCCTGTTACCACTTTGCACCTCATATTTTTTCTGCATTGGCATATCGTGGTTCCTGGATTATTATTGTTGTAAACGGTCTTCTTACCCAAACTTAAGATATTTGAGGTATTTAGCAATGTTAAAAAAGTCCGACGTGGTAAATTCCTACGAAGTTGATCAGTTGACTTAAAGCTAGTGATTACTCAGTGCCAAGAATACTCGTAGATCTATTTTCCAATGGGAACTGCTGAAAACAGTCTCTGTGGCTTGACGTATAAACTGGTCCAGAAATTGGTTTCTTCTACAGTATCAATTGTAGAACATAGTATTTCGCGGACCACGTCTGCTATAAAATCTGCGATGGGGAAGCTGTTGATGAAATATAGAAACTATTACGAAAACTCAGTGAATCGAAACGAAAACTAATTTGAACCAATGTGCATTGCCAAAAATGCAGTTAAGAACCGCCACTGGGCTGTACAACTACGGTAGCCGTACCCCTCACATGTTTCAGATGTGGTTGCCGGAATTATCAGCAGATTTCGAGAAAGTCTACGACTGTGTGAACACAATCTTCAGCATGTACAAAACGTGGAAAACGTTTGATGAGAAAGAACATGTAAAGCCGCTATTCGATAAGTTACCAAAAATCAATGCAGGACCGTCGTTCTAGGAAATTTTTACGTTGTTAAACTGCTCGTTGGTCGTCTGTAAATTGATTTGTTTGTTGATTCCTTATATGCAATGCCTTTTGTTAACGCTGTTTTCAAGTGAGGTGTCGGAGTGATTTTCGAGATTTCCTAGATTTCCTTTGAATAGTGTAAACTTTATCTAAGAGCGTATTTGTCCACTATTCTCTCAAAATTACCGCTATTCTTAGCAAAGAATCTGGTGTGATTGCAATTATCTGTAACACAGTGATGTTATGTTTGTATGTTTTAGCTTCTCAATAAAACAGGCTATTATATGAGTTGTTATCTCTTTTCAAATTCCTATTGCTATACCATTCAACGTGATCATATTTCCTACCACTAATGTGGTATTATTTTCAATAGTTATCTTTTGAAATATTTCCTAAGCTTGTTTTTTGACACGATATCAAGAGTTGTGAGATTGTGTCTGCTTGAAGAGTGCTTTTCAGTTTAATGGATCAGAGATCACTCCTCGCGGCTTTAAAATCAGGAGATTATTCACTTGTTAAGGAACTATTAGGTTCGATCAACAAGTCGCTATGGCCTGTCGAGGTGCTGATTCCGTTCGTGTTACGAAATGCATTGTGGAATTTGAAGGGAACTGCCGAACTTGACTACGTGGCGAAAGTGTTCAGGTGGTTACTAGTTGCTCCAGTAAGAGAAGAATCAGGTTGTGGTTAGCAATATCGGCTTATTGATGCCTTACATTTATGGTTTCGTTTAAAAACAAAAGTGTTGAAGAATTTTAACCAAAAGAGTTACGTGGAATCTAGTTTAAGAAGATGTGCTGTCAGTAGCATTTTTGCTCATGTTAGTGCGTTAAGATGTTTCACAAGACGTCTGAAAAACCCATTTGATTTTTCGGCCTGCATGTGTGTTCAAGAGACTTAAAAGAGAATAAAAATGAAAAATTATACAGTGAGATCCACGGATCTTCCTCATAGAGAGGTCTTATGCAGGATAGTCGGGAGGCAAAAATCCTAGCTAGTGGATAGGGGGTTAATCGCGGACCAGGAGCGACCTTTGCTTCCATGAGGCACAGCTGAATCCACTGATAGACTCTGTTTCTGCTGCGCGGATTCGGGACATAATTTTTGTGTTTATGAGGACATATTTGCGCATACGTGTGCATGTGTGTTCTCGTTTATGCTCGTTGTTCTATGAGCAAAATCGCCAAAACTCTGCAATCAACTGACAAGAAAGTATATAGGAGACGCAGAGACTGACAAGTTATCCGTGAGTATACCCAATCTCCACGACCAGAGCTCAGCAAGATACACGTGAGTATCAAAGGCTAAACACAATAGAGTAAACGGTCCTCATTCTTCTGGCCACGAAAGAGCCTCCGATACGGCAGCATTGGGCAGGACGTCTACGGAGAGACTGCAAAATCTCAGCCATTCTGGACTGCGTAAATTGCTAAGGACTAAGTTGACGAGCTAACTTACAGAGTACCTACAATGCACGCACGCTTGCATCTAATTCCTCGATAAGAGACTTGATTATACAGACAAGAACGATGAGGTACGACGTCAATGGACCGGCTGAGATGAGAAGACACCACCTATTCAAAGTTTACGACACTGGAGAGGAAGCGTTCCATTGAATCTGCGACAGCAGAGAAGGCGGCGTCGGCGTTCTCCTTAACAAAAGTTTGGCAATGAACATCGATTCATTCCAACAACTAACAACCCATATTGGACGTTTAGGATTGAAGAGGTATGAATCAATAACAGGCGAAGTCGAAGAGTTCTAATATGGATTTGGGGAAGTTTTACAGAAAGGATTGTACAATCCTGAAGGTCATTCTTAGAGGTTTTAACGCTATGACTGGATCCAGAGGAGCGTCTGAAGAACTCTCAACAGTGGACATGGGCGTCTCCCACTGGAGTTTGCGATAATGAAATCGACCGCGTCATAGTAAATCGAAGATTTTGACTAACTAATGCCTTTGTTGTACTAAAATTTTAGCTCGGTCGGACCATGGCCTCCTTCGTGCAAGATTTCATTACTCGAGGAAAATGTAAAAAGCCGCTAAATTTAAAAAAAACGAAGTCTGAAAGCTGTCATAAACGGGGATATATTCCGTTTATTAGTCGGTTGTTGGGAAGATGCCCTTTTTGATAGCATCGACGAGGAATACGATAGCATTTAACATCTTCGCGATGCGGCTATGAAAGCTGGGAATTCGAAAGTCACAAAGTGTCTGGCTATTGTCCCAAAATTCTACACGGAATAGGACCATCGTCTCCTTTGTGCGAGATTCTATTTTTCGCGGAAAGGAGAAAAAGCCGCTAAATTCCAAAACCGAAGTCCCAGAACCACCGCAAACTGGGATTTGTTCAACGTATTAGTCGGCTGTTGGGAAGATGCCGTTGTCGATAATATCGATGAAGAATACTATCGGCTCATTCAACATCTTCACGGTAGCGCTATGAAAGTCGAGAGTTCGAAAGTCACCAAGAGACGTTTGTCTCCAGAAACATTCAAGCTGACACGCCAGCGTGGAATCGCACAAGCTACAGGCAACTGCCAATTCACATCCGAACTTGGAAAACAGTGAAGGCAAGCGATGAAAGATCTTAAAGAGAGAGTAGCAGTAGCTATGGTCGAGGCTGCAAATGCTGAGAGAAGCATTCGCAAAGCCTACTGAACCTTGAATTGCGAAACCAAGATGGCTGCACTCGGACGCTCAGATGGAACGATGACATCTTCCAGAAATGCACGATTGCCACTCTAATCTCTTCAGTCGCAGCGTCCTCCTAGCCTCATACGAAATAAATGAGGATAGGTATGTCGTCCTACCAGTTTTCCCTTCCGCGCTTTCACATACTTTTTCGTCGGTGAAGAATGGAACATCAGTAGGTCAGGAGATGATAAGATCGGAACACCTGAGGAACATTCCGCTAGTACTTATTAACACACTGTCTCGGCTCTTCACATATTACCTGAACGCAAGGTTGCTACTCATTGGAAGACCAGCATGCCCGTGCTGTTGTTCAAGAAGGTTGATCGCCACGATATCGCCGAATATCGCGCAATCTGGTTACTCTCTGTCGCTCTGCAAACTCTTCACTCGAGTCATCTTAAACAGAGTCGACAGAACACAGACGAAGTACAACCATATGATCAAGCAGAGTTTCGAAGAGGATTTAATATAATGGACCACATCCACACGATAGCAAGACTCACTGAAGTATCGCGAGGGTACGAGAGAGCGCTATATCTTACTTTCATGGATTCAAAAAATGCTTTTGATTCGGTTGAGGAAGAAGTAGTCACGGAAGCAATGGTTAGCTAGGAAGTCCCTACTTAGTATATAAAGATTCTTAGAGAGCTGTTTTAAAATTTAACAACCCAGATACCACCCATCCTACAATGATATTAACATCGACTTCAAAAGATGGATTAGACTAGGAGATACCATCGTGCCAAAATTATTTACCGCAGCCCTTGAGAACGTCATGCGGACACCGGAATGGGACAACATGGCAACGAAAATCGATGGTCGGCAGTTACACCATCTTCGATTTGCTGATGACATCGTTCCTACAACACCAGGCATTAACCAAGCTGACGAATGGCTGCCAATTTTGAGAAAACCTGCGAAGAAATTGGTCTTTGACTTAACCTCGCGAAAACGATGTTCATGAGGAGAGAATTGGTTTCGTATGCCCCATTAACATTCAAGGGAACGGATATGTCAGAATGCTTCAACTAAGTCCATCTATCCGATGTTTTTCTTAAATAAGCAGACGCGAGGTGTCTGCTTATTTAAGAAAAACATCGAGTTATCAATCAATCCGAGGTTAAAGGAAAGTCGGTCATGGGAATTGCTACGTAAGTCCATCTAGTTCAGAAAATCAACATGATGCATGGCTTAACTCCAGATTTGAGGAAGATATTTTCGAATCCACGATTATTCCTATCTTAACGTATGTGTCGGAAACCTGACAGCTGCATAAGCAGAATGAGTATCACTCAGTGTTATTGAATACGCAGTCGAAAGGACGATGCTAGGAGTCTACCGTATCATGCAAATAAGGGAACGGATCTGAAGTTCCGACCTATGTCAATGATCGAAGATCAAAGTGCTGTTCTATACGCCAAATTGTCGAAGATGAGGTGGGCCATGCATTCAATGCGTACGAAGGATAACCGATGGACAAGAGCGGCCAGGAACACCACCGATCCGATGGTCAGAGTTCTTCACGAAAAGGAAAATATAATGGTCCACGAGTCTTGAGAGAGAGAGCGGAACCTACTGAATTACTTTTGCATGCTACAGGGAATAATGGAAGGTTTATTTGTGCCCGCTGGAGTCATTCAATGATCAACGCTACGTCAGGTAGTACAGTTTATACAGCGCGATGAAGATGGTCTGTTAGGGACAAAATATATCCTAGCATAACAAGAGATTGGCACTTCACCCCCAAGGAGATCGTCTTGTGGGCAGCAATCGATCAGTACCGCTGCTGTATAAAAGGGAACTGCCGAGTGGAGTTAACCACTCCAGGATTGCTCTCTGCATTGGAATCGACTGGATGCGACGACGAACAACCACATCGTGAGGACATCAAGCTGGTAACCATCGACTCGGATCAATCCCGCCCTGAAAAAGACAATGACGTCGAAAAATCAGCTGAATAACCCTTCTTGTTAACCTCGTAGTCGCTTAATAATCGAAGAAGTTATTGATAGGATACATTTAGTGAATACATACTGTCGTATTGGTTCCTAGAGTATCAGTAAGAAGGCATCTCATAACAGTTTTTTTCAGGATGTTCTCGAGATTGAGACAACTATCGGAAGAACAAAGAAGTGAAGCCATTGAGCTGCACCAGCTAGCTTTATTAGCGGTATGAGTTTCTGTCTTTCTTTCCAGCAGTCTACCTTGTGCAATCTCTTAATCACCTATAGTACGTTGTTTATGGCGTTTGATTTTGTAGGATTTTTTGTGTGTGTTCATATATTAGTTGCTCAGCACTTACTGTTAGACTTTTCAGTTCTGAACATGTTAACTTATTTTTTTTACTCCCTGCTGCAATTTGTCACGTAAAGATATTATGTGGAATACAACCAAAATGATAGTGACATATTTGCAAAACTATGAACCGCAGTTGTCTACAGCGGGGATCGAACACGCTGTTGCCCTTTACGGAGACTAACATGTTCACCACCACACCATGCGAGCCCTTCGTTTGCCTTTCTCTCAACTAATTTCTTGAACATTTTGTTGTTTGCTACGGATATATACCAATTGTATATCCTCTACATTTGGTAGTCTTGTTGGAGTTCAAATTTGTTAATTTCATCGTATTTTTGTTGAGCAAACGCGAGGTGTTACTATTCTTTGTTCACGATTAAGCTGACGTTTCGGCGGGTTTCGCCTTCTTCAGAGCCTTTTGTTAATTTCAGTTGAGCATCCACCTCATGTTGAAATGCGAATTGGATGACGATATAGATAAGCTAGGAGACTTTGTTATGCGTAAATATCAAGAAGTTGTGGTGAGTGGATTGAAAAATGTTCCTTTATTTTGCTCTACAAGTTCGTTACAATCTACATTGCTTTCTTCAATATCGCGAAATTATTATTGTGAGGAAATAAGCGAAAGGCATGGAGTATTAGAACAACTAACCTACTTCTGTGTTTGCTGACTGCAAAAGATCGATAGAACTAACTGAGAGACAGGCGAAACGAAGGACCAGCATAGTGTGGTGGTGAACGCGTTACTCCCCGGAAAGGACAATAGTGCGTTCGTTCCCCACTGCAGACAACTGCGGTCCGGAGTTTTGCAAATATCTCAGCATCACTGAAAGTTAACCTACTTCTGTTTAGAAGGATGGCTACGAAAGCCGCATGTAGAAAATTTAGTTGTTTATGAGTGATGGGCGAGTTTTCTAATTACCATATCAATGCATTCATCGTTATCTTTACTCCGATGACTTTATATTGTTGAGCGAATTTTAAAAAATTAGGCAGGCACCATCATGCCTTGACAATACATCGGTAAGAAGCACAAGCTGTGAGATAGCCACCCTAATAGAGATTTTATCGAAGACAAACAACCGGCGTTGACAGATATGTGTCCACGTAGGGTGTGCCTTGTGACCTTAGGGGACTTTCCAAAGTTCTTCGTGATCATTTCTTATCAAACACATAGCATAAGAAGCTAGCACTCTAACAGTTGTCGGTAGTTCCTATTCATAAGTTCTATACGTTCCTGGGATGTTTAGAACTAAAACTCGCGAAGAAATGAAAACGAGATTTAAATTTCCGAAAATTCCGACACAAGCTTGCCAGCCGGACCCAAGAACATTTGTCCTACTGGACAAATTCCAGCTTTTCCAGTTGCTTTCGTCTTCGAACTACGAACTTCGATGTTAAAAAAGGAGAACATCTGGTATACTTGAGAAAATTCATCGGAGTTTTACCATGGTAGAGTAAGAAAACTTACACCTTGTGGTCAAGGTCTGCATATTTAATGGTTTCTATTTTAATTGACAAAGTTAGATATAAGCTGAATTATGGTATAAATCACAATGTCGTCACTTTTTATTTGCTGTATGCTCTTACTCTACTCTAAGGAATAGGCAGTAAATGAAAAATGACGATCTTATGTCCGTCATGTTTTCGTTTCTAGCGTTTCTACGGGTGTTATCACTACGGACCTCAATTCAGATATCTCGTGGCAGTGTGTCATCGTCCAGTGCGCCTTTATAATTTTAAAAGGAAGTAAGGCATTAAAATTAAGACCATTTTTCTGTCCTTTTTGCCCGTTTCTGTCTAATCGAAAGATTTTTCTTTCCGGTGTGGTTTCATGTTTACGAATATTGCGAAAAAACTGCGAGAACGAGGACTCAGTCAGGTTCAATCAGTAATATTTATGATAGACTAGTATTCAAGTTCTACCCTTCTTGCCATTTTAAAATTACTGGTCCTATTTTCAATCTCAGTGAACGATCTCATCATCTCTTTAGTGTGGAAGAATAAACATCATAATAGACTTGTAAATTTGTAAATTCTTCTGGCATCCAGTGATCATCTCTGATATATTTGTTGAACGGTGCTGAAGGATGGTTTGAATATTCGTTTGGAGAGATTTCCATGTAAACCTACAGCAGATCACCTAATGGAGAAGACGGTTTTGAATCCGGTTTGAGTGCAGTGTTATTTATTCCAGAACATTAGTTTCTAGGGTTGTTTGTTCTTCAAACATCCACTACCTCACGTCAGTCAGGTATGCCGTTCTTTTTAATATACACTTTTGTTTTATATGGTTTTGGTCTTTCTTCTTCTTTCGGCGATCTTTTATGTGTAGTCACCGTACTCTTATTTACGGGATAGGTCAATTCGCTCAGATTTCGACGATGGCGACTACAAACACATTCGATGTGGTTGCTTTGCCGCCCTCGGATCGTCGATCTGCGATATTCCTTCACTTGTTTCGTCCAGAAATTATTGAAATGTTTAGCGAGTCTTCTAATCTCAATCATATCCGTTCCTTCGACTGTTATTTCGGTGAGTTTTAATCAATTTATTCTTGCCTACAGTTTGAGCACGAAGGTTGTCTATCGATGTACTCAATTTCATCCTTCTCTTTTAACTATTTTTGTACTCTGTATTTTAATAAAGGGCACATGTAGTGCAGTGGTTGGGGGTGCCCTGCAATACATATGGGATCGATTCCCAAGCCCCAGGCTAACCAAGCTCCCATCCGTCCGTGATTTGCAAAATGGTACCAGACTTGTCTAGGAGGGTAGCAACACTGGCTCGATTCATCGGTAGGCCACCTCGATTCATTGTATGGGCCAGATATGCATTCATTTAACTCTAACGATGCTTGCTAGAGTGAAATGCATGGTGCATCCCTCAGGGATTGATCAACATGGAGAGCTTTATCCTTTTGTACTTTTTAACACTGGACTATGCCGCACTCATCATGACAACATGTTAACCATATTCGAGAAGTTTAGTTATTCTAGTGATCAATCAGTATCGATTAAACTATCACAATTTTGCTAGCTCTACCGTATATTACGTGACTTCCTGGATTCTCATGAACGCATACAAAGAGACCCATCTGCAAGCTGCAAACGTGAACGTTGCATCAGAGAATACTATCATGTGCTGGTAGACGAAATCCCGTTTATTGCTCGCTTTCCTGTTCGGGATGTGAGCCTTCAAGCAAAAAATTACAAGAAGTATATCTCGTGGGCTGCTGAAAATCAGAATTTCATGGCGGTTAAGTAAAGAGCCTTAATCCGATAGTGAAAGATCTGCAAGTTCTAATAGTTGTCATTCCATTGATAAAATCCACTATGAGCTGAGATATGTTGACTCAAATTTGAAAACTCACAGTGTGTTTGCATCGTTTACCTCCCAAAGAGGTCATGTTTCAGATTGCGTTGACGACACCCTTTTCGTTATTGACCAGGTCCGCTCTGGTGGAAAGAAACGAAAGGTAATATGAAGAGAAACCATAAAATTATCGAAGAAAGTGCATGGATCTTAACCTTTTTATTTACTGCCTATTCTTCTTAACGCCAGAGTATGTTGCGAAATATAACTACTATAATACTGAGATATTTGCAAACTTCCAGACCACAAGTGTCTGCGGTGGGGAATGAACGCGCTATGCTCCTTTCGGGGGAGTGACGCGTTCACCACCACACCATGCGGGTCCTTCGTTTCTTCGATTTGGGCTCCCCAGATCAATCCCGTTGACTGGTGATTGCTGATGGCAAAAGATCGATAGAACTAGCTGAGAGACAGGTGGAACGAAGGATCCGCATGGTGTGGCGGTGAACGTGTTACTCCCCGAAAGCACAATGGCGCGTTCGTTCCCCGCCGCAGAGACCTGCGGTCCGGAGTTTTGCAAATATCTCAGCATTAAAGTAGTTAAAGTGCATGGAGTCCAAAAGGATGAGTTTTCATTGAAAATATTTTTAAAAACATTTCTGTACTGCAGGTTTTTGTCTTAAACTGTTTTCTGGACGTTGTGTTTAATAGTCTTGAAGCCGTCAATGATCTAGATAAGATAATTCGAGAAGGTTAGTTATGATTCTTAGGGAGTATCCGAATATTGTTGTAGTTTGAAAATCGATCTGTTTGTAAGTGTCTTCTTCCCTTCTGCGTTTCAGTAAGCCCAGAACTGTGGAGTGCAGCACATTTGAGACATGTTGATTGTGATTCACCAACTTTTAAACTTTTCATGGAAAAATTTTTTCCCAAAGGAGAAGAGGAGCTCAAATTACTAGATAGGTGTTTTACCTTTCTTATATCTTAGTAGATTAGAAACAATTCTATGTTTGGTTGTACTGGTTTAGCAATAGTTTCCAGATGTGCTGCTGCTCTGGAACCTGAGTTTTTTGTTGCATCTCTTGCCAAATTAAACAATCCTTATCCGGAACTGTTAGTACTGGGGTGTGAAAATGAAAACAACAGCGAAGGTGAGACGATGTTCTTTTGTACAACCGTTTTAAATTTTTGCTTAATTTTAGGTGAAATTGACGATCGTGACTGGGCTGCTCGTATTCTGCGCACACTTCCTTGTCTCGACCGAGAAACAGATGATTGGTTCTATGACTTTGTTGAGGCCTGCTCTAAGGATCCTTATAACCGAGCAGTGCTATGGTATCTGCTTCCCAACTACGAGGAAGTTCTTGGTGAACAAATTCGTTTTCAGTATGCAAATTCTGTTTTACGAGAAGGTCATTAGAAGTGTAACTTTTCCAGAAAACCGTCTTATCGAAAAACGTCGCCGAGTAGCCGGAAAAAGTGCCAACGACGGAGATATTATTGAGGATATCCCAGAAATTACTGAGATGCGCAAGCCAGATGACTACATATCCTTCAGGTCGCGTGGTGCGTGATTATTTTGAGTGTATTTTGTTATAATGTTAGCCTTTAATTTCCTGTCTACTAAAATTTTTTCACGGCAGGGTGTGATGTGAATTACAACCACAACGATGCTGAGATATTCGCGAAAGTTGGACGCCGGCTCAGATCGAGCCACGAATACCCTTTGTGAGAGTCCAGATCAATCTTGCTTATGTGATTGCTGATGGCAGCGTTAGGTAGAAAACTAGATGAGAGAAACGCAGAGCAATGGCCTCCATGGCGCAGTGTGTAATGCGCGAGCCCCCGGAAAGGAAAATTGTGGTTCGACCTGGCTCGGAGTCCAAGTTTTGCGAATATCTCACTATGGTTGTGGTCATTTTGTTATAGTTTTGATTTATTCACTCGACCATCATATTGGCTAATACTACGGTTTTTATAGAATTCGATGAAGTACAGGAGTCAGAAACACTCAAACTAAGACCTTATCAGGAAGAATTGGTTAGCTAATGACCGTTAACCTCCCGATGGAATCTCGTTCTGACTTTGTTATTTCTAAATTCTTGTATTTCAAAGGTTGAAGTGGCATTACTCGGTAAGAATACGATTGCATGTGCACCAACTGGTTCTGGCAAGACGGAAGTTGGCGTGTATGTAGCGATGTGTCATTTGGATGAGAAAGCAGCCAAAAATGAGCCAGCAAGGGTAGGAGCACTCCTTATCTTGTTTTTTGTAAAGATTTCTGTTCCGTCGTTATCATTCGTTGGTTAATTTGCGCACGTTCGATCCACTCATTTAAAACATCTATCTTCCTTGTATAACTTTCTCTCCTCCGTGATTTGGGTAGGTGCAAGCGGAGTTAATGTTTGCATCACGTGTTGTCCAGCGGTTCTATTCCCTTAAAAGACACACGAACCACTATATTATACGTTCAGGATCTTCTTGAAGTGGTTTGGTCAATGGGATGGTGGCTTTTCTGCTATGGTGTTTGTTCTGTGAAACGCACTTGTTGACTTCTCTTCTCCGCAAATTGTGGTTAGGACGTATCGCTTCTCCATGCCGATTGATTTTCGTCTTACAACGGACTAACCATAAGGCTGAAGTGATTAGCAGAAATTTGGGTTCTATTCGATTGTTTTCCTTACATTTTTAGTGCTGTTTAAAGCTTCGTATGTTGAATGTCATCTCATGTTCACTTCTAATCATCGTGTAAGGATATAAATACCTGCAGTATTCGTTCCTCTGAGCATGAATGGGCTGTCGGAAGTAAGTAATTTTCTTATGTTCAACGATTTTTGCAGCCCACTTGGTCCCGATAATTTAACTTTTGTCTAATGCTTTAACTCTTTCACTACAACGCTGCATTTCGCGGTTGGTTTATCGGACTACGCCTGGTTTTATGGACCCAATGGTTTTTTAAAAATAAACACTAGTTTTCCGGTAACTAAAAAAGTTAAGGGGTTCTGAACAAGATAGGATTGTGCAGAATGCTTCACTGTATCGCTATATGGGAATAAATGGTACGGATGCTATTTGCTGTGTGGTTCCCTGTGGTCGTCCATCTTACAAACTGTGCTGTTGGACATGAAAGATACCTATACTGATATTTGATTTGAGGAAGGTGTGTTACCCTTCCATTGAAGGTTGGTCTCCACATGGAATGCTTACTGGAAGACTCATAGAAAGCAGTAATTATGTGAAGAAGCTATTTTGTTCTCAATGCGCTTGAAATCTAGGCTTCGTGACTTTTATGGTGGGGTTATGGTGGTTTTCGTTTGACTAGGTTGTGGTTAGTTTCAACTTTCTAGTCTCTAAAGAGAACAGAATTCGCCGAAATGTCAGTTTTTGTGAATAAATAAAATAGTAACAACCTTATGTGTGCTGTCTTGTCGAGGACACAGCAGATACAGTTAGGATTTGGAAGTGTTTGGCAATTTATGCTGTGTCTGTTTCAGTATTTCCTATACCGGCACACTATGCTACAACTCATTGTAGAGACTTGAACTGAAATAGCAGTTGGCTACCAACCAATTTTTAAATAGAGCTCTTCCCGACCAAAGCCCAACACATCAGTGTTCTATATCCTGTCAATTCACTACAAAATCTCAGGAAAAAAACCAGCGAAAAACGGGCGCATCGAAATCGATATGTATGGTCTATAGTGTCCGCCGGCGTACATATCGGAATCAATACGCATGGTGAATTAACGTTTAAGAGAACCGTGCCGGTAGTAAAGAGAGGTTGGTGTGGGCGATAGGCTTAGAGGCTGGACACGTACCAAAAGTGACCATATAGTTCTGGCATAAAACTGGATTCAGGGTTTGAGTGGGATTCAGGGGTTGGTGTTGTCGTCAACACGAGATTGACCATGTACCTGAGTTTCTTTTACCAAATAAGCGCTGGAGTTGACGCTTTGCGATTAAAATATGAGGAGTAATCAAGACTTTGAAGGACTGCTTCATTGTTGGATTCAACTTAGAGGCTCATGCTAAGAAAGCGTGTAAAGAACTTTACATCTGAGCTCGCGGACCACAAAGGGACGAACAGGTCGAGAAGCCATCTTATTCGTCAAGATAGCCATTTTTCTAGTAGGTCAGAATCCTTGGAGGTGTACTTTCTACATTTCTACATCGGGAATTATAATCTTTTAATGTGAGCCGTCATTGTGAAGTTCACCATATCATCGTCAAACCAAGACCTTGCCTAATCGAGGTTTTAACCGATTTTTAACCTTCACAACATTACCGAAATTTGAGATTTACGAAACGTTCTTTCTCCAGAAACACTGGAGCTGTCTTGGAATTTTATGATGTATATGTCTACGAAACATTTTGTGTTTTTACTAATTACTTGGACAGATGAATGTTTGGATGGCCCGCCCTCACTGATTGTGCGTGCCCTTGCAATATTTCCATTTTTTAGGAGATTTGCTGGTTTAGCCGCCACGGTTTCATGGAGTCCTAAGGTCAACCTGGCCAAAGTGTGCCCTCCTTAGGTCGTCACCATCACAGACAGTCGCCGTCTTTGCGGACGAGAGGGAGATTTGCCACCATGCGTCTAGATTGATACCAGGACGGTGGTGGATGCTGGTATTGGTTTACTCTTGGCCTTCCTGATGGAAACGCCGGACTCATTCTCAGCTTGGGAGCCGCTGTTGGGGGGATAAATCCTCACGCTGTACATCGCAGCCCGATACCCAGGAAAACCTCCTAGGCATGATGCGGTAAACCGTTGGGAGGTTTAAAAGTTTCTATTATCTCTCGAATATTTTCTGCTGTTGATTATTTGAGGTCGCCATGTTGGTTCCAAGGATTCCGTTAGTGGAGCAGCAGAGGGAGCGGTTTCATAAGTATGTTCGAGGAAGGTGGGTATATTAGACTTCACTTTTACAATTTTTATTTGTCAAAATGTATAAAAACACTAATAACAATAACTTGTTCGATTTCATGGGTTAAATTTCAATCTTACTGGCATTGTGAAGAGTTTGCCCTATTCTTTACCAAGTTTCCGTGCATTTTTTAGGTATTACGTGGAGGGATTCCATGGCAGTGGTCAGAAGAGTGAATCTCGACGTGATTTAGTTCTTGCCTGCCACATTGTGGTTATGACGCCGCAGATTTTACTGTAAGTTAAACATGGTTGTAGACTATTTGTTGTTTCGAAACGTATAGTGTAGGGATAAGAGAGTGATTGGGATACGATTTTAAGGTATTACTCTGATGGGTGAAACTTCGAAAGAATGAAATCTGCGAGAGTAATTTCCCTTCATCTAATTAACTGCATCTCTGGCTAGATTTTGTTTAATTGTTTTTTCAGCAATATGTTGAGGTCCATAAGGAAAGATGAACGACTTTATGTTTGCGATTTTTCTTTGTTAATTTTCGACGAAGTTCATCATTGTATCAAAGACCATCCTTACAATATTCTTATGCAAACGGTTCACGACTACAATGGACCAAAGCCTCAGGTGAGTCACTGCGAATGTCATATTGATCGCTTGTATTAATGTTAGATTCTACTATAAAGGGTCTGTAAAGGAATGAGTTTTTGTGGTAAATCCCTTTAAGGAATTCTTTTTTAGTCTTGTCCAAACGAATGCGTGCTTAGCGCTTTATATCACGTCTATGAAGATTTCTATATTGCTAAAGCGAACTGTTGAGAACTCATCTTGTAGAATGAAACACATACCCATTTACTGGTCCTCGGAGATCACTGTGAAGCGAAATCTCTGTTCTCTCATCTAGGGAAATGTTTCTAATTCAAATGTGTCCGGCACATTTGCTTGTATTTCAGCGCTATACAGTCATTTTTAAGCTTTTGCTCTTTTAAGATACTCTGTGTTCGCATTTGGAATGAGTTTTTGAAAAATTGTTAGCATGAGCATTTTGATTACCCTATCGACTGACTTTTGGTCTTATTTGTTAAAAAATGGAATGTTTTGTTCTAGCTATCAGGCATGTTATCGTCCTAGTGTAGTTCTTTCGCTTAAATATGTTAAAGAGTTTAGTTACCGTATGCGTGAGTTTCAAGGGCGCGTGTGGCGCAGTGGTCGGAGGTGCCCTGCAATACACACATGGGATCGACCACCGCGCCCGTGGTTCACCAAGTCTTTCATCTTTCCGAGGTTGGCAAATTGGTACCAGACTTGTCTAGGAGGAGAGTAGCACTGGTTGGTGACATCGGTAGGTTATCGCGAGTCATTGTAAGGGCCAGATACGTATTCAGTCACCTCCAACGATGCTTAATGAAGTTGAATGTGTGGTGGCCCATCTCTCAGGGATTGATGAATGCCGAGAGCTTTATCCTTTATCCTTTATGCCAGAGTTTCATTTCTTGAAAATTGCAGAGAGATAACGTTCTTGGATGGCTAGCAATGATTCATTCGAAACATACTGCTTTTGAACGTATGACGTACTTATCTTACTCATCTTACCCTCAGAAAGCTTAATCATGGATTAGAATCTTTCCAGGCATCTGAGTTTTCCAAGTATCTCAACTTCCTTATGGTTGTATTTCACGTGGTACCCTGTCATTAAAAAATAATAAGAAGTAAATAAAAATTTACAAATTGGTCATCTTCGTTTGAATTCAGACCATGGGACTGACAGCATCCCTTGGAGTAGGCATATCTACTACTGAAGAGGGCGGAATGATAAATGTCTATGAACTGCTGGCTAATTTGGGTGCGACAACACTGTCTTCAGTACGACGACACACCGACGTTCTGGCGGAATATGTGCAGAAACCTGCCGATTGTAGGTATTTTCTCGGAAGTTAACTAGAGAGCGAATACTACTGGCTGCGTTTTTATTAGATGCGTGAGAATGTTAGGTTTTATAAGTTGATATGTTATGGAATTAGCGAAGAGGTGCTGAGTTAGTAATCTCGCAAACATTGAATAAGCAATACTGTTTTCTACATTTCTCAGTTTCTTACTTACCAGTTGGATACTTGGACGGCTCCGTCCTTTGGGGCTTCAGCATATTTTCCACTTTTCGGAGTTTTGCTGGTTTGACCATCGTGTTGCCTTGGAGTCCCGCGGTTAGCGTAGCCAAGGTCTACCCCAAATGGTCACCACCACAGGCAGTCGCCGCCCTTGTGAATCACAGGAGGAGATTTTCCACCATACCAGTGGTGGATCCAGGTATTGGTTTACTCTTAGCTAGGCTTCCTGATGGAAATACCGGACTCCTCAACTTGTGCGACCCTGCCCGGGGATGATTCTTCGCCCCGTACATCGCAGCCTGACAGCCATGAGCACCTCCTAGCCACGATGAGGCGGTAAGTCGTTGAGAGGCAGATCCCTTCATCAAACAGATATCTGAAAGATGGGCTGTAAAACTCTTCGAATAAGCAGTTTATTTGCAACATTTATTGGGTTTTCTGAACCATTTTCCACAGTGTTTCAGATTGTCGACTATTACGAGTTGTTTACATTTTCCAATTATTAATTTTCTTCAGTCACTGTGAAAGTAGACCGTCCCAAGTCGTCGCCGTTTATGGACATGTTGATTTCAATCATGCTGAAGATTGAGAAGTCTGTCGAAGATCAGCTAAATAAACTTACCACTGACAATACAACTGGTTTTAAACTCACAAAGGTTGGGTTCAATATAGTCTTTCAATTATAGTGTATTTTATATTGTGTTAAATTACCTTATGATATTTAACGTTGGTCCATTTAGGAATTACACTTTAAGTTGACTGCTTGAGTTAACTCATGTCTTAATTAACTAACTCACTCAAACTCAACTGGTTGACTTGCCAGCCTCACTATTGCCTGTTGGTTTATCTAGCGAAATACTTTGTGGTATACTTGTCCACATTTAACAAGAAGAGTTCTCTTTCTTGGGGAATAATCTGTTACTATAGCAGTTTACCACCCGTCTTCTTGAATGTTTACGTAATTCTGTCCACTTTTCCTCCTTCATACGATCGTGAATCATCTCTGAGAATGCATTAATTTGTATGAAATGCTGAGATATTTGCAAAACTCCGTACCACAGGTGTATGCAGTGGAGAACGAACACGCGCTGTTGTCCTTACCGGGGAGCAGCGCACTTCACCACTACACCATCCGGGTCCTTCGCCTTGCGTATATCTCAGCTACTTCTATCGATCTTTTTTGCCATCAGCAATCACCCGTCAACGGGGTTGATCTGGGGAGCCAATATCGGCATTGAACCCAGTTAACCTGAGGCTTAGTTATAATCACATTCTTAACTCTTTTATTTACTGCCTTTTTCTTCTTAATGGCAGGTTATGTTGCGAAATATAACTCGTATGAAATGCTGAGATATTTGCAAAACTCCAGACCACAGGTGTATGCAGTGGAGAACGAACACGCGCTGTTGTCCTTACCGGGGAGCAGCGCACTTCACCACTACACCATCCGGGTCCTTCGCTTTTCGTGTATCTCAGCTACTTCTATCGATCTTTGCATTAATTTGTGTTGAATTTAGGTATATGATCTCCTTACTTCTTGTTCTTTCGCATTGCTTCATATCTGGGCTAACACTGCTTTAGTTGATATATTGGTTCATAGGAAGACGTGAAATTCGAGCATCCGTTGGCTACTGAGAAGTATATCCAGAAAATAAACACACTATCTTCGGCGTTAAGTCGGTTTCATAATGGAGACTTCAAGTTCGAACCAAATATCGCTTTGGAATATCTTACTGTGAGTTTTCTATGAGTTGCGAAGAAAAAATGATGTAAGCAGTCCAAATAGTGTATGCTTCAGGTACTAGGTCTTACATAGGTCTTGTATAGGTAAATCATGTACTGCTTTTCTTTCTTGAACATGTTCTGAAATTGTAAGTATTATTAGAAAAGGCATGACAGTAGGACCCGATGGTAATGCATGCAGCGACTTTTGTTCCACTTTAATTTAAAGTTACTTTACCTCTGTATTTAAGCAGTGGTTTTTGGATTATTTCTTTCTTTTTACCTCCAAGGTTATGAGTCAAGGCATCGCCATCAATGATTTAATGCCAGCATGTTATGCACTTGAGCACCTGCGGAGGCATCTTAAAGCGTTAAACGCGAGATTTGAAGCGGAATGCTCGAAGAAGTTCTACGAATATTTCACTGGACAGATAGGTGGTTTTTTGGATTTTTTAAATGGAACAGGTTATTTTTTACGAGAATTTTGGAAAATCGTTTGATAACGAGCCTTGTAATCGGTCTCTGAAAATTTTAAAAATATGCAGACTATCTCACGACGTCAGCCAACGAGGAAGTACCAAAACCAATAGTCACAGCGTTAGAGGTTGGTAGTTATTGATGATTTGTTGATCTGCTTTATTCTTTGCTGTTTAGACACTATAATGTTAGGGAGCTTTCTATTTTTGTAGAAGGAGCTAAAGAATCAGTTCACGTTGGATGCCAATTCACGTGCGATAATTTTTGTCAGTCGTCGTTCTACGGCAGTCGAGTTGATGAATTATTTAAACAGGGAAAAGGTGGTGTTGGGACATCCTGACCTTGTAGGTTTTGTGACAAGTGAGTGGTTACATTTCATCTCTTAACAAGAGCCATCAACTTTTCTTATGTCATGAATTGAATAGGTATGCATGATAACATTCGTTTCTTAGCCATAGATTAGCCGAATAATTGCATTTTGATTTGGGTTTTCAAGACAGTTTACTGAAGCAGGCAATGAAGAAGTCAGAGTCTGGTCCCGAGCCCATGTCGTACGTTGCATACATCTGATGACAGATTATCGTTGAATAATAACTTAACAGCTGTTTGTCTAAAGACATTGTTGGGATCTTAACTGCTGCACTCGGGCGACGATTCACGGATAATCTACCGTGGTGTTTATTTGACCGGCTTTCTGGCGAGTTCTAGCGAAATCTGTACTTGTTTCGGTTTCTCGTGCCTTGCTGTGTAAATATGGATGGTGTGGTTTATGGCGAGTATAATGGTTTACGGTAATGTGGTTGTTGCTAAATACAACGCAAAGATTTGTAAGTGTATACATGTGAAAATGTGTGTGAAGTATTCGAAATAGGGGCGAAAAGGAAAGAAATTAGCGAATACTCTCTATACGATTGGGAGGAGTACCAACAGGAGGGTCGGCTCCTTGATTTATAACTCGCGATAAAATACGAGTGTATTTGGTTGAAGTAAACTATAACGCAAAGACTTTAGCGTTCCTCTTGATGGTCCAATGGAACGTATCTTTTTGGAATATGCTGCACCGCTGTTTGTCATGGATTCTTTTTCCACATCAATGGAACGTCTTGGATTCCCTTTTGATACATAATTTTCTCAAATACTGGAAACGCCGTACATGTCTGTCTGAATGACGAAATCTACGCTAATCTTGTATATGCCACCTGTATTTTGGAAAATATTGTTCAGTGGATCTGTGAATAGCGTCTGGAAGCCTTAACGTGGTTTATGTCTCACTATCCTTCTTAAAAGACGTTAGTAGCAGCGAGCATGTGTGAACAGAAATCTGGACCAGTCAAATAAATCGTCAGTGGATTCTTTGACACCTCCAACTCCGTAAATTTTTCATAAAACGACTTTCTTCTAACTGGTAGGACTAATCAACATGTAATAGTACCCAAGATAAAGAAAACGGCGAATTCATAATCAACATGTGTTTAAATTATTGAGCTTAAACGAGTTTGATAAATAAATTTTGTCCAACTAACGTTTCGACGACTTCGTCTTCCTCAGAGCAGACGATCCCAGTCGATAGTTCACATTCGTTCGTACTCTCGATATGGCGTATTCATAGTCGTATTAAGTCGAAAAGTCGAAATCGGGTTGTCAAACGTACTGCAGGAAGACCACCGACCCGATGGTCAGAGTTGTTCACGAGGAGCCTAGAAGAAGGATATGATGCTCGACGAGTCCCTAGAGCGAGTAGAGTACCCACGGGGCTACTCTTCCACGCGACAGGGAAAAATGGAAAATTTACTGGCACGCGCTCGAGTCATCAACGAGACTACAGGTGATACAGGTGGTCGTGTCGAATCTTCTTCAGTAAAACGCCGCTCAAATAAGGCAGTTTCACCGAGCTCTGTGTTAACTGATAATGATACCGACTTTTGCGGGATGGATTGTCTGGGAAAAAAGTTGTTGTCACCGGACAATCGTAGCAACAACAATCGTCCTGTGTAAAACAGCATCGCATATTGAAATTGCCTCATTTGGGCGGTCTTCCACTGATGAAGATCGGAGTCTATACGACGACAAGGGCACCACATCGAGATCGATTCGGATCATCGGCTCTGAGGATAACGAAGACGTTGAAACGGTAGCCGAATAAAATTAGTTTATCAACCGCGTGCAAGCTCAACAATTTAAACGCCTGTAAATTTTGTTATTAGTCTGCGGTACCTCATCTACGTTTTCCATACTCTAGGAATGTCTAAGCATATGAGCTTATACGAGAGCGTGTGTAGCATAGTGACCAGATATACAAACATACATACATACATACATACATACATATATACATACATACATACATACATACATGCATACATACATTACATATATACATACGTTACATACATTACGCACATTACATACATACATACATACATTACATACATACATACATTACATACATTACATACATACATACATATTCCATATCCAAGACTCATAATGGCTTCCATCCTTACAGGTTCAGCAAAAGCGCCGGTCTTATACATTGGGAGAGCACCGTAAGTCACTGTATAGGTCTGATATGCATTCACTTACCTTTGACAATGCTTCGTAAAGTGGAATCCATGGCGCACCCTTCCGGCGTTAATCAACATCGATAGCTTTACTTTATGCTTTGTGGGTATATATATTTTTTTATATATATATATGCACATATATACATATATATATACAAAGCACAATGGGATTTGCAAAGCTTTGATTTAATCTATAATCTTTAAATCCACGTTGTTTGATGCTTTATTTCCGAGTGCATCCATTTATTATTTAAGCAAGAGAGAAAGTGGAGAAAACCATTCCTTCTTCGTTCAAATAGTGATGGTATTCGCTCAAACTTGCGCCTAGTAACGACTTTCCAATCTATGGTAAAGGGTTCCTTGGTATGAGGGTTTGTTCAGCAGAACATCTTTGAAAGGTCTAAATGGACGGTGCATAAATTTCGATGGCAGTTTATGGTCAGTACGAAAGTGCGTTGCAACCTGGTTGCTTTTTAAGGCACCTCAAGGAAGAGCTCCGAATATGGACAAACTCAAGAAGAACAAAGAAGAGTGCTGGAAGATTTTAGTAGTGGACGGAAGAAGGTAATATTTAGTCATATCTAGCTAAAAGACATTGCAAACATTAGAAATACAATCAATAACTACTATAATACTGGTGTCTGTAGGTGTCTGCCGTGGGAAACGAACGCGCTATTATCCTTTCCGAGGAGTAACGCGTTCACCACCACACCAAGCGTTTTCTTCGTTTCGCTTCTATCTCAGCTAGTTCTACCGATTGATCCTTTGCCATCAGCAATCACCCGTCATTGGGATTGATCTGGGGGGCCCAAATCGGCATTGAACCCAGTTAAGCTGAGGCTATAGTTATAATCACAATCTTAACGTTTTTATTTACTGCCTATTCTTTTTAACGGCAGGGTATTTTGCGAAATATAACTACTATAATATCTGTTCTATCGATAGAACTAGTTGAGAGACAGACGAAACGAAGGATCCGCGTGGTGTGTTGGTGAACGCGTTACTCCCCAGAAAGGACAATAGCGCGTTCGTTCTCCACCGCAGACACCTGCGGCCCGGAATTTTGCAAATATCTCAGCATTATGGTAGTTATGTTTCGCAAAATACCCTACCGTTAAAAAGAATAGGCAGTAAATAAAAAGGTTAAGACAATCAATAATGATTTTTTGCTAGCTCCAAACTCCACTCTACCATGGCCGGTTTCTTGCATTTGATCTTTCTTCTCCTACATTGACCATGTGGAATACATATTCATATTAGAAAATACCCCACCATTTTGTGTGCTTCTAACGCGAGTAATTTGGAAGTATAATATTACTCCTGTTCCGAGCCTTCAAATGTTCTAGTAAGTGGTTCAGTTCAAGATTGAGTTTAGTGAGTTCCAGGTGATTGTTGCGACTTCAGTAGTCGAGGAGGGTCTCGATGTTGCCACTTGTAATCTCATAATAAAATACAATAGTTCCAGTAGTGCAGTGCAGAGAGTTCAACGACGAGGTAAATCGATTTTTTTTTTCATGGTGCAGCGCTTTGTTCATGAAATGAAATGACTAGCATTTCAAAACGCGAGCTGACCAAGGTGTATTTCGTCACCTTTTGGTTTCCTATGTCGCGCCGTCACAATGTTTTTGTTATAAATTAGGTTATGGTCTCTCGTGAATTGCCCATTTCGGCTTCAACTTTATGTAGAATCACATTGTTTGCTGAGATATTTGCAAAACTTGGACCGCAGGCTAGATCGAATCCGCGATTACTCTTTCAGGTGGCTGACTTGTTACCCACTGTAAAAAACTGGATAATAGAAAGGCAAAGCGTGGGCCTCAGTGGTGCTATAGGTAACACATGAACCCAGGAAAAGGTAATCGCGAATTCGATCTGGCCTGTGGTCCAAGTTTTTCAAATATCTGACCATCCTAGTGATTGTATTTAGCATCATACACTGCAGTGAAAAATAATGATAGGCTAGAAATTGAAATTTAACATTGGTCGTAGAATGTTTTATATTTGCTGACTACTGCCAATCCTACTGTGATAATTTTAACATGGAAACAATTACAAGATAACTTTTAGTAAGTGGAAACAAAAAACTATAGGTGAGACAAAAATGTAGGGAATGAATGATGTGAGGTGTAGTGAAAACAATGACATCGACAACCAGTGTTTTCGCTCATATAACAGATTATTGATACATTCAAGAGAATTTTAAGAAATTTGCCACATTCCTTTTCATAGTTTCGTCTCAGCAGGAATTTTCATGAATGCAATTTGGTTATGTCGGTTCTAGAGCGTGACGTCATCGACCAGTTCTCTATTTAGGTGTTTGTATTTCTTAGATAAAATGGGCAGCCCAGTATGCGATGAATGAGCAGTATTTTATTCGAAATTAATATGTAGCAATATCCCAACGGTTTATCGCCTCATCGTTGCTGGGAGGTGTTTTTGGGTGTCGGACTGCGATGCACAACGGGGTTCCATCAGGAAGCCCGGCTAAGAAGAAACCAATTCTTGGATCCACCACTGTTCTGGTATCGAACTAGTCGCATGGTGGCAAATCTCCCTTTGATCCACAAGGTCGGCGACTGCCTGTGGTGGCGACCTGAGGCAGACTTTGGCCAGGTTGACCTCGGAACTCCAGGAAAACAATCGGTAAAGCAGCAGAATTCCGAAAAATGGAGAGTATGTTGAGGCCCGCGAAACTAGTGAGGAAGGGCCGTCCAACTATTCAAGTAAGAATATGCGGTAAAGCGCATCAAGGCCAGATTTTGAACTGCCGTACTCGTGAAATTACGCAGCATGACTAGAAGAAATCCGGTGTATTGTAGAGGACTATTCGTTAATCCTTCTTCGTTCCTGATTTGTTCCTGACTTCAACTGTTTTATTCTAAACACTTGGTCGAACCATTAACTCAATATAGTAGGTTAAAGTCGTATAAATTTTGGATGGAGTCGAATAATTTTCCTACCATGATCCATACTTTCATTTGTATATAAATTAGCGATAAAATCTTTATTAATCACAGAATTCATGGTAAAGTTAGGTGTCCTTGAATTTATGTGCTCAGCTCTTTGTTCTTTACAGATATGCTACGAATCACATATATTGTGGTAGTGTAACATTGTTAACTTCATAGTTGGTTTACAGGACGAGCACGGGCTCGTGATAGCCGGTCGGTGTTGATAGTGCTGTCGGAGAACGTAGCACAAACCGAATTCCAGGCAATTATAGCTGAGAGAATCATGAATAATTGCATAGCGCGCATTCAAGAACAGGGTGAAAGAGCACTCGAGAAGAAGGTGAATTTATCCCGTTACTACAAAAAACATAAAAACATACGTGAAGTACAGGCAAAAAAAATAGTGTGCGCATGGCGCAGTGGTTAGAAGCGCACTGCAGTACACATGGGATTGATCCAGCGTCCAAGGCCCACCAAGCACACCATTCCTCTGAGGTCGGAAAATTGGTACCAGACTTGTCTGAGAGGATAGCAGCATTGATGCGGTACATCGGTAGGTCACCTCGAGTCATAGGCCAGATATGCATTGTTTCACTTCTAACGATGCTTGATAGAGTTAAATGCATGACGTATGCCTCAGGGAATGATCAATGTCAAGAGCTTTATCTTTTTTTTACTGTGAAAAACATGTAGTAACACAAAATTATGCCACTTAGTAGTGAAATGATTGCTGTCTGCATCGTTGAATTCGTTTCGCATACACATATCTATTTTACCGTCTTCTTTATTGTGCTTGAATATCATTTGTATGAGTATAGCGGCAGAAGACATATGGTGAGGTACTGCTTGTTTGAAGCAAACCTGTGTAGAAAAACAAGTCAAAAGCCAATGATGTGGAAGAAATTGGATGCCCGTAAGAGACATGCTTCAATACGCATGTCAGTGTTCTAAGAATGTTATGAATCTGCGTTGATTCACCGTGATTTGCTTTTCGTGTGATCTCCTGAGACTTGCTATTTACTTACTTACTTGGACGGCCCATCCTCCCTGGTTGTGTGGGACCCGGCATAATCTCAATTTCTCAGAGTTTTGATGGTTTATCTGTTGTGATTCCCAGGAGTTTCGTGGTCAGCCTGGCCCAAGTCTGTCCAGGTCGTTACCACCACAGGCAGTCTCCGCCCTTGTGAATCAGAAAGAGATTCACCACCATGTCACTAGTTTGATACTAGGACGGTGGTCGATCTTGGTAGTGATTTACTCTTAACTAGGCTTCCTAATGGAAAAGCCACTCTTTCTCAGCTTGGGAGACTTTGCTGGGAGATAAATACCCCCGCTGTGCATCGCTGCCCAACACGCAGGAACACCTCCCTGCCACAGTGAAGGTGGTAAACCATTGGGAGACAGAGTTACTAATGGAATGTAAATGTATAGGGTTTTTACGAATCTATTTATGCAGTTTGTTTTTCTACAGCTTCTATGTGTAGGTATTGGAAGTAATGGAAAGACAGGCAAAAGAACGTCGAGCACTTGCAGAACTCAGAATAAAGAGACGCGAACTGTTGAAAGATAAATTGTGAGTAGTTTAAATGTATTTATCTCTGCGTGATTCCGATACATCTCCTATGTCTTTGCATTCTGTACTAACTAGTTGAGACTTTTGAGGAAACGTTAGTGCGTGTGTTGTAACTTCTTTCTAAAGTGGACGTTTTTCTTTTTAATTTCTATGACCGTTACACTACTGTCTGAATTTATTGCATTTGTAATTTCTATCGGCATAAATTGACTTCTACACGCGGGATCGATCCACGCACCCCAAACTCACCAAGCCATCCATCCCTCTGCGGTCGGCAAAATTGGTACTAGTCGGGAGACGGTAGCGTTACTGACTCGGTGCATCGGTAAGCCACGACGAGGCGCTGTAAAGGCCAGATATGCATTTATTCCTTCTAACAGTGCTTAATGAAGTCGAATGTATGGCGCATCATTCAGGGATTGATCAGCGCTAGTAGCTCTATCCTTTATCCTCTATAAGTTGACTGGTGAAATCATTAAGATGTTTTTTTTTCTTAGCGTTCCTTTAGGTTTTCCATTGTAACGTTTTCATTTTTAAGAAATGCGTCAACATTTTTAACGGTTTGTGATTTGATAAATTGCCTACAAAGTGGTCTTAAACTAATAAGCACTTATAGACATGTTTAACAAGAGTTAAAGTCAGTGTTTTCTGGAATCCCATTCAAATATGGATACGTTCTTGGATTGTTGGTTTGCAAAGATGGATATTTGTGAATTGTCTTAAAGCGATTTTTCAGGTTCACTATTCGTTGTAAGATTGATGGCGAATATGTGTGTATGAGCACAGATGTACGTACCATCAATGGATCCAGTTACGTTTGCGTCGATACAAGCATATGGACTCGTCTGAATGTGAAGACAAAACAGTCGATGGAGAAGGTTTGAAATGAGCATGATATGAAGAAAGAGTTGATTATAGCAGAATAGCTAAAAAAGTCGTTTCAGGGAAGATTTATTGACGATGTTACTCTAATCCTTGCTGATATAAACTGTAAATGTGGGCAGATGATTGGCACCGTTATGAAATATGCGTAAGTTTATTTCTGGCCTAAACGACTTTCTGAGGTTTTAAGTGATAATTCTGGCGACAAGTCTTTATTTATAATAATAGCGCAATATTTTGTGATTTATGCGGTTATGTTTGTGAATGAATATTGTTTAATGGTAAGGGTTGAAGGTGGATATGATTCGTTACATATTATACTTACTACTTGGATACTTGGATGGCCTGTTCTCACCCATTTTTTTCGGGGATTTTCTGGCTTGGCCATTTTGGTTCCCTGGAATCGCGAGGTCAACCTGGCCAAAGTATACGCCAGGTCGTCACCACCACAGGCAGTTACAGCCTTTGTGGACCAGAGGGAGATTTGCCACAGTGCGACTAATTTGATACCAGGACGGTGCTGGATCCTGGTATTGGTTTACTCTGATGGGCTTCCTAACGGAAACGCCGGACTCCTTTTCGCCTTGGCGGACCCTGCAGGCGGGACGAATCCCTCCGCTGTACATCGCAGTGCGACACCGAGCAACACCTCTTAGCCACAATAAGGCGGTAAACCATTAGGAGTTACACATTACATATTGCTTATATTTGATCATTGTTGTATATTATGTTTTCCTATGGTCTGATATATATCATAGTTGCTTAATTTGTTGAAATTTCGTAATATTCATTCCAAATATCCCGACTCCGTATGTACGAGGCGTCCTGCTATACAAGTGGGATCGCATCCACCCACCACAGGCTCATCAAGCCATCCATCCTTGCGGTGTCGGTGAATTGGCACTAGACTTGTCTGGGAGGATAGCAGTACTGACTCGATACATCGGTAGGTTACCTCGAGTCATTATATAGGCCTGATGTGCATGAATTCACCTCTACCGATGCTTGATGAACTTGAACCCATCCATCAGGGATTGGAAAGCTGAAAGCTTTCTTTGTCTTGGAAAAAGCTGAAAGCTCTCTCTTTTGTCCTTTATAAAACTTTTGTTTCCAGAAGTAGCTATGTTCCCACGTTGAACATTGGTAGTTTAACGTTCTCGGAACGGTGTGAAGGTAAGGAGTTGGCACAGGAAAAGATAAACACGTGGTCGAAGGCCAATGACCGATTTTGGATTGCAGAGGCCAGTGAACAGGAATTGGTGAGTTGCCGTGGTCTGCTTTTCCCGACACCGTTAATTTTCTTTAAGGTTCTTTTTTTTTCGTTTTCAAAACCTTTACTGGTACTATCGGTTTTTCTTTGTCTTGGAAAAATCAAATGGAAAATTAGATCTGAGGAATATGTGTGAATGTTTTGTGTTCCGATGTGAATCTTTTCCAGCAGGTATCTCGATGTGGTCAGTTAACGTTTTCATAATCTTGAGATTTCAGCGTGAAATGCTCGTATCGATTATGACGGAAAACAACGAATATAAAATTGATTTGGACGTGATGTGCGACAAAATAATAGCTACCCAGAGGAGGGTGTTGGAGAAAGAACGCAGGAAAAAAGAGGAAATGGAGCGAATTAAGTCAGCTTGGGAATAGCCGTTGCATTTCGACAGTTGAGATTGTCCGTCACTTTTGGAACAGCTTCTAATGGATTTGATCCATTCCAAGTCAATCAATCAATTTTATAATTGTCTGCTATATCACCGGTGTAGAACACTCTGTTGCTGCATTGTTTTTAATCAAGCATATTCGGAGTATTAATATTAATATATATATATATATATAGTATTAATATTAATATATATATATATATTCATATACGGAATATTAATTGTTGTTGTAACCTTATGTAACTCATGAGGTTCTTGTTCTACGTATATTTGAAATCGAAAATAGGTCCTACACAGCGCTTCCATTGAAGTTTGTCGTTGAAGTTTTGCTTGATAGCACAGCACAATGTTGAAGAATATCACTTCTGCAATAAAGTCTTCTTTACCTTATTATTTACTGCCTACTCTTTTTAACGGCAGGGTATACATTGTGAAATAGAACTAACTGAGAGACAGGCGAAACGAAGGACCCGCATGGTGTGGTGGTGAACGCGCTACTCCCCGGAAAGGACAATAGGGCGTTCGTTCCCCACCGCATACACCTGCGGTCCGGAGTTTTGCAAATATCTCAGCACCAATAAAATCTTCTTTCCTTTTTTTTGGAGTCTCAAGGTTTTAAATACGTTTAGGAAATTCTGCCTAACGAGTTTTTTGTTGGAATTGGTAGATTAATACTAGTCTTCAGGACCATGTTTTCAACAAAGAAATAAGCTCCCATCTTTATTTTTATTATGAACAGGTTCCGTATATCGAGCATATCGATCGGCTTTATGAAGTAAATATTTGATGGGACAACAATTGTGTTTCGCTCAGATACACATACAGTACAACTATAATAGAATCATCGGTAAGTTCTCAACCGTATCATAGGATCGATCTATCGCGTGCTGAGGATGAAGAGGATGGGACTTTCGGTGAAATGTCGTTAACGTGATACAATGTGGGCTATAGTTTAGAACTATGCTGATGAAAAAGGAAGTCGAATTTCGAACTACTGAAAATTATGTATACTGTAACAATGAGATCGACAGACGATCATGTTATCCAAATAGCGAGCACTGAACACCATGTGAACTAGTCCAGATTGTGCCATTGAGCCACTTGGCGTCCTGGATTCTCTAGCACTTCGACGATATGTTGATCTTCAAGGTTCAGAAGTGCACGACCAATAACGTCGTTACGATTTGTGCGATCATGATTAACGACCTGGAATTTGAAGACTAACTTGGTGCTGTGTTTTCTTGGTACTAACCTTATTTGGTGATTTTGACGTAAATTAGTGATCCATCAAAGCATTACAAACCTTAGTTTATGACAGTTATAAAGTGAATTTATATCGTTTTATAACAATTACATAGCCTGTCATTGTATCTACTGTACAGACCCTATCATTTCTTGGATTCGATGCGTTTTCCGCTCATTCGTCGTCCAAAAGCTCATTGAGCAGTTTTCGTGTTGTTTCCGCTGTTCCTTGAGGATTTCGTCTTCTTTCTGAATGCCGTAAAATGCTGGTGGAGTCCAATCTTCTAGCAATCCTGAAGATAGCCGAACTAAGGCGACCCCAAGTGGATTGGGTGAGAGCATTGGTGGGAGGATCGAACCATCAACTTGCTCTCCGATGGACTACATCACTAACCAGTCCGCTACTCAACTGCTGTTATAAAGTGCGTAAATATCTATTTATTTTAAACCGAATATTTCGCTTAGAAAACGTGTTTAACACAGGAACTTTGAAGACAGGTAGTATTATAGACTGGGTGGCGTTTTGTTCTGGCATATCGAAGATGCTAATCAGTGCTATCCGAATACTAAAAATTTACGAGGAATACTTCATTATGTCCAAAAGCGAAAAAAGAATACCGCTAGTTTTCATCTACAACTCTTTAAGTAGTAATTTCCAGTATAGTTGAAAGCAGTAGGGATAACTTTTGATGGCGTAATTGGTTTTATGAAACGCATATTTATGGACAAAAAAAGATCTGCCGTCATAAAGGATAAAAGAATGTCGTCATAATAGGGCTAATTGACTTTAGTTTTATTTTCATTACATATTCATGAATAACACGACTGTGAGGAAACAACCAATCCATCCGGAGATGAACTAACTGGAAGACAATGTGTAGCGTTCTTATTTTCGAATAACTCGAGATAAACACTGATCCAGATGGAAAGTGATGTACAAAAATTCCTATGCCTAGGTTAAAAGAAAGCCGATCGTGGGGGCTGATGTACAAACAGTTTGGGAACTCAAAGTAATCAAGCCTAGTACATTTCTTCGCCACCTTTTCTGTTGCATAACCTTTAGATATCATTCCGCTTCTCTGGATAGTTTAATATAACAGGATCCTTCATGCGTTTATTTTATGCACTGGGAAAAGCGGCCGTTAACAATTAGTGTACACAAAAGACACCAAGAAAATTCAAAGGATGGCTCTTGATGGTGACGTAGAGAGAAAACAAGTTGTGATGAGATTCTTATGGCAGTAAAAGATGAATTTGAGATTGACTGCTGTTCTTCACACACACTTTTAACATTTTTTTTGCTACATATCGTGCTACTCATAGAACCTTTGTGATAGATTCTACTAAATCATAACGTCCGAAGTTGTTTTTGGATAACCTATAACGATTTCTCGACCACTAGAGTACTTAAGGGATTGACAACTTCACAGGTTTTTAGGAAATACTTCACCTTGCCACCTCAACTGACCATTAACTTAGTTTTCTTAAAGGAGCAGGTAGTTCAATGTTAACGATTGCATTCATTATGAAGATGAAGCAACCCACCTAGTAGCTGGTTGGATGCCATACCGAGCTAACCAAGCCATTTATCCCTCCTGGATCGGGAAATCGGTACCAAACTTAAAGCTCATCCAGCTGACTCATTCTAGTCTACTTGAGCACGCTATAGACCCGTTATCCCATAATTGCAGGATGAATCGACTCGAGCAGCATTCGACGCTCACAATGAAAAAGAGAAGGCGAAAAGATGAAAATACTATCAAGCATCAGCCGAAGGCACAAACAAAAATGTTCCAAGATCTTCGCGGATGATGAATGCAAGGGAACGGATCGAATGCAAGATTGCCGGGAATGGTAAAATGTAGTACACGTGAGAGGTCATGTAGTAATAAAAAAATAATACGGTACTCTTTAGATTTTAATTATGTTCACAATTAAGATTTTAAACACAACTAAATAGTTAAAATAATTTTAATCTGAAAGATTTAACGCGTAGTTTAAAGTTTGAAGATTTACAGTGTAACGGTGACAAGTATAACCGATGCAGTGTGGGAACGCATTATGTCCTATTGGGCAAAATCACGACTTTTCAGTTGCTTTCGTGTTCGAAATATGTATGAGCCATGAAGCAACGACGTGGGAGAAATACGACTCGAGTGTTCCAGAAAATCGTATTGTAGTCCTGGTAGAATGAAATAATTTGGCCTTGTAAGCAAAGATCTGTAGATCTTAATGCGTTTTTCCTACGACTAAAAGATTTTACAGAAGTACACTGTTCTCTTGATGAGTAAATAGATTTTAATATGAGGTGGGACATGTTAGTTTAAAGTTGAATACGGACATTAGTTTTCCCATCAAAGGCATCTCGGGCGGTATGTGTTTATAACGCTAACCATTCGTTCACGGTTAAAATGTTTTTTTTTCATTAGTTAATGTCATGTGGCCTGTTTTATGTTCTGGCAAGAATAAGCGAATAAAATGGTGAAATAATAGAGAGTGTTAATTCAGGAGCGAATTTAGGTGCGTCGGATCGGATTCCAATATAGCGCAACCCTGGTCCGAAAGTTAATAGTCTTAAAAAATCACAAATAGAAAAAACCAAAAGAAACAGGAGTAAAAAGAAGAAAACAGGGCAATTAGAGCAGTCTTAATGCACTAGTAGTTCCCTGAAACGGATATATCTGATCAGCTCATCGCCTTTACCTTTCAATGAACGCACCATGGACTAAGAAATCTGCTAGCGGCAGAAACATTTTAAGGGACTGCCTTCTTTCGACAGGATTTTTCGACTACTGTTTTCTACTTTCTTTCTAACTGTTGCTTTGATTTCCCAATGTGTTTGTAAATGCTTGAATTTCACTGAATGTCACACTACCATAGACATGGCATGGATCTTATCCAGGAAAATCCTTCAGATTCAGAAAATCTCCACTAAAACGAACGAGAAACGTGCTGGATTATGAGGAGCGAAAGTCAATGTGATAACTGAGTGAATAGAAGTAGGAGTGAAACGGTAATTACCTGTAGATCAATTACGGCATTATCCATTTTACTTTCCGGTAGTTCAAAGACGAACGATTCGTTGTAGACGGGATTGACAGTGGCACGACGGACGTGCGTCTTCTTCTTCACAATCCGTTCACCGTTCTCTTTGCGTAAATACAACTTCACGTAAGGATCTGCAAACTGATCATCACAGATCGAACAAGAACCATCGAAAGTTCAAAGCATGAAGAGACAACTCATGCTCACGAAAGTAAGAAAATGTCTATTCATTTCTTCATTCTATACAGTTTTCTTATGGCGAAATACTTGACGAATGTGTTTTCATATCTGTCACATAACGAAACCATACTCTCGGGGTAACTTTTGTCCAAATGATAGTTTTTTTATTTTAATTTTTATATGAGCCGTTTTCACGTCTATTGTCCTGATCCTTGCATTTTCACATTCGATTCGTCCCCAAGGATCCATCATCTACTGTGGTCTTCCAACTTTTGCGTGTGGGTTCGGCTACTCTTCGAGGATTTTCATTTCATCTTGAATGTCGTAGAACGCTGGTCGAGTCGATTCTCCCTGAAGTCCTGACATAGCCGCTCTGGAGCGTTTCGATTTGGATTGCAGTGATTTTTTCCCAGACAAGTCCGGTACCAATTTCCCGACCCCGGAGGAATGAGCGACTTGGTTGGCCCGGAGCGGAATCGAACTAGTACTATGCTCGTGATTATCGATATCACTATGACTGTGCTATCCACCTCCACTGGCCATCCCTATCATATGAGATGATACTATGATGAGAAAAATGTCTAATTTCCGTAGTATTGCTTGGTCAACGTGTAGCACAATGGTTAAAGGTGTACTGCAATATACACGTGGTCATTCGTTCGATTTCGAGTCACAGGGTAACCTAACCCTCCATCCCACTAATAATACTACAGAAGAGAACGAAGAAAAGCATAACTGGATTTCAGGGCTGCATCCTCTCCACGTATTCATCATTTAAAGATAATGCAAAACGCTTTTAGACTAATTGACGAAGTAAAGCGCCTAATTCAATCTTCTTAATGTCTCCTTTGCTTGCAGCCAACGAAAAATTCTGATGACATGCACTTATTCAGGAAAATTAGTTTCCTTTAAAGATTTGAACCGAAGTAGAAATAGAAAGACTAACGAGAAGTGAGATTATAACTAACAATGAAAAGACTAACTTTTAAATGAAGAAAGCCAGTATTTGCCTCTTCAGTGAAACCACGATTCAATTCGAGATAATTTTAAAGTGTTCATGTAGTAACATAATCAAATTGTTCATCAATGTTCCATAATAATGCCCTTTGGCAAAAAAAAAGAGCGTGTGGTTAAAGTTATAGCTCTGGAATGCACATTGGTTGTTGGTTTGACGATAAACCTAGAGGTGGTCTCATTGGGAAGAGAGCAGAACTGAATCGATATATCGGTAGGCCACTGCAAGTCATTCTATAAAATGTGTTCTCAATCACCTCTGTGATGCTATGAATGGAGTAGGATACATGACGCATCCATAAGGGATTGATCAAAAATGAACACGTCACCCCTGTTCTATTTTCTAAAGCTGATATTAGGCCTATTTGCCTCATTAATGATAGCGCTAAGTTGTTCCGCAATAAAGAACAGCTGCGATACAGTAATCTCCTGCTGTCGCTAACATCATCGTAAAGCGATTTCCCACTTCCCGACTTCACCAAATCAAACTAATAACAACATTGACTCTATCAAGTGATATTTCGAAACCGACTTTCCTTGAACCTCGGTATCACTAATCAATATGCATTCTTTCTTTGATGAGCTTACACGAGGTTGATAATGATGTTTATTTTCGGCTAACGTTTCGACGTCTTCGTCTTCCTCAGAGCCGATGATCCGAGTCGATGGTCTATCAAGTGAGTATACCCGTTGTTGCTCTTTTAAATGAGAGCTTATCGTACGTTTTCTGGATCTGTGGTCAATTGGAAGGAGCGTAGTAAAAGTGTTCCACATCCAAAAGCAATGCTTAAGGGATGCGCCATGCATTCGACTCCATTCGTAGCATTATAGAGATTAATGCTGCTTGCA